GAGAGAGAGAGAGAGAGAGAGAGAGAGAGAGAGAGAGAGAGAGAGAGAGAGAGAGAGAGAGCTAAGGGCCCAGATCGGCTGCTGGTCACAGGCTGCCAAATAGCGATTGTTAAATATGTAGTGATACAATACCGAGTCTTCGACCTGAGAAGCTCTAGGGCTGGAAGAAGGGATGCAGTGCATCAAAAGCTTGGAAGCAACAACTATGCTGCCATCACCATCATGAACATGAACATCACCAACATCACCATCAACAATCAACAAAGTTTTCCTTCCTCTTCTTCTTCTTCTTCATTTTTTTCCTTCTTCTTCATCTTCTTCTTCTTCTTCTTCCTCGTCTTCTTCTTTTATAGTAATTATAATTGTACGTAAGTAGTTAGTTCCAAAGCAGCACACTGACCTGAACTTGTGTGCATCCCCAAAGGCTGAGCTGTCGTAGATGGCGATTGCCTAAACACACTGTTCCTGGCATCGATGCGGCTCTTTCTATTTCCTCGTCCATTGGCTCGTCAGTATCAAGCTCAAACGGTGTCTCCACCCTCTCACCCGATACTGGTTTTGGGCTCCTCCAATGATAATTAACCCTTGATTTGAGGGAACCACTGGCAAGCTTGTTGCAGTTGCTACTCTTCTCTCGGGTATCCTCTTCTGCTCCACTCCCAAGCTTGCAGCTACTCTTCTCCGTGACATCCTCTTCTGGCCGACGTGTTCTGCCTTGCACCACCATGTCCTCGCTCTCATCGGAGCTCTTTGCCTTCAGAACCATGCAAGGCCTCTGGGCTTCAGAAACAAGCGATAAGCCACAGTCTAGGAGCTGAAGATTAGGCAGGTGTGACGCTGCGTCTTGAATTCCATCTGCGCACACAAACACCCCACCAATGTCCCCAGCTTTGGTGTTAACCGAAGTTTTTGTAAGCAAGGTGAGTCCTTCCGTATCCTGATGCCGCCACTGCTACTTCAAAAAAAAAAAGGGACCTTATGGGCCTCACTCCATATTCATTCTGGGGAGCACCAGTCCAGTTTCTTTTCCAGCAGTTTCCCTCCCTACTGAGAGAGCAAATCCAAAAAAAAAAACAAAACGAAAAGAGCAACCTCATCCAACAGGCCCGGATGACAACGAGCGACTCGTCCAAAGAGAACCACATCCAGCAGAGCAGGGTGGTGTTGACCAAAGCAGGCGTTAAGCGTTTTTAATATTTTTTTAAAATTTTTTATGAATCTTCACAGATAAACATTGAAATTTGAAATCAACCAGACAGTCTGCTAAGGACCAAGGTGCACATGGAGAGTTCAAGAGTTGTAATGTCTGAGTCACAATGGCACCAATTCTAAGGACCAAGGTTGCAGGTCCACTTTTACTGTTGCTCTTACGTACATGGCTGGCCACATCCCCATGTGGCGTGCGCCTTAACAGCCCACTAGCAAGTTATGAAAGGAGGCAGAGAAACGGGGGAGGTAGACTGGCTGTTCATTTTTCTTCATATCTTCAGCTTATATTTCGTCTGTTCTCATAATGATGCTCATTCGTATGCATTCACTAGTAGCAGTAGCACAGAAAAGAAGGGCGGGAGGAAAGGGGTAGGGGGTGCAGTTCTGTGGGAAGTGAGGGGCGGAGGAGGGAGAAGGGGTAGTAGAGGAGGGAAGTGGAGGGACAAAGAACAGAACAGAGGAAGAACAGAGGAAAGACGAACATCACAGGGTTCTCAATACTCACTGCCCTTAGTCCTTTGGGACATCTGTTAAAATTGGAACGATACATAGAAGATCAGCATGGATCCTGCGCAAGTATGACACAAAAATCGAGAAATGGTTCGATTTAAGGGGGGAAAAAAAAAAAAATCAGTACTCACCGCTGGAGCAGACTATTCTAGACTAGCACAAGGGGCCCAGCCAGTGTTTGGGTTGCAGGAGATTTTGAGTTGAGAAGCTGTCATTGCATATGGGAAGTGGCCATCCCTACAGACCGGACAGGACCATTTTGGATGCGGATTGTGGACTGCATCCAATTCTCGCAGTTGCAGTTACCGTATCGAATCGCACGGCATAGTCAGATGTCAAAGGCTGTGTGGCTCCCACATGCTACGAACACAGAGGCGCGCACAATCGTAGAGGCATCGCTGTTCCAGCCCCGATTGGACATGACATGTCAGGGTACCGTACATGAGTGCAATGTTGACTGTCATCGAAGGTATGAAAACAAATACTTGCACTGGCCATGCCTTCATAATCCTCACGACACAAAGCATGTGAAGCAGATGGTAGCTGAATCTCAGGTGGGCCATCACAGAGCGGGGTTGAGCACGTTTCTTGGGTTTCTGCAGTCATTATTCCTTCTCTATGCGCAGGCTACGACGAGGGCTGATCCAAAGTAAGGTTCATTAGCTGTTGCAAGATTTGGTCTGCACTTGCAACAGCTCGCCCTGGTGGTGATAACCTTTCAGTATAGCGCTCTGTAGGTGCCTCGTGTGATAGTCTCTTTTCCTCCTCAGGCTGCTGCATTTGTCTTTCGTCTGGGAAGGATGGAGTTACGACTGCAATTACAGCAGACGTGGGCCCAACGCTGCGTGTGGAACATGCCCGCAGAGGATGGGGGAGTGGGCTGGAGCTGGAGTCGTCTTCCTGTAACATGCCCGCAGAGGATGGGGCGGGTGATGGCATCAGGGATAGTCTACGCAGGAGAGAAAGATGCTTTCGATGACAGCTGGCTGGAAACATCGACGACACATTGCATGTTGCTGGCATGCCAGCAGGAAATCAGCCTGACGTCCACAGTTATTCAGGCATGGCATATGTCAAGGCGACAACGGCATGTAGGGCAAGTAGAGGGGGACGAGTGCAAGACAATGGGTCACAGTTTCCGCAGCAGAGGCCGGCAGTGACCATCCCTCCATAGTGTTCATAGCAGGGATTATGTTGGGGAGGTTCAGCTGGATTGCTCTCCGGAGAGTGGAGGGTGTAGATCTTGCGAGTGGACATCCTGCGTTCCTGGTTGACCAGCCATACAGAGGGGGATTCTACCACTCGGTGAAAGAACCGACTTAATGTTTCCCACGGTGCGCACTCTGCCGCCATGTCCCATAGGGTCCATGAATTGTTCGTAAAGGTAACAGCACTAAATGACCTGGACGATGCAGGATGTATGCACAAATATTTTGGCCCATGTCTGGCATGCAATTCTGTGAAGTGGGCTGGAGCTGGAGTCGTCTTCCTGTAAGCGCCATGGACAGGACTTCGATGTTCAAACCGTCTAGGCAGACAGCATGGTGCTCTTCTTCTATACAGCGGACAATGTCTGCAAAATCGGATCAGTATAGTGGCTGAAATTGTCAGTGAAGAGACGTACATTAATGGCACATTATGCCCAGTGGCCTCACTGTAGCATATGAGATCATTTGATTCTGCACAGATCTGCAGCTTGTGCGGCAGGGGCAGATTCATTTGATTCTGCAGATTGCATGGTAGCGGGAGGTTCATTCCAGTCTTCACTGTTTCTGCCAGGTTCCTCCGGCTCTGGCATGCAGTCGGAGAGGGATCATCTCCAGTTGGGGGCTCCATCAAATGATCAGCAGGTGGATCATTGTCAGTTGGAGTGGGGGAGCAATCGGGGCTAGGTGGATGAGAAGTGTGTAGGTCAGATGCAAGAAGCGGAAGCTGAGCAGCTGCACATGTTCTCAGAGTGGCTGCTAGTTGTCCAAATGCTGCACAGGTGGCTGCACCTTATGTCTGGTCCACACACAGAGCTGCAGCACTATAAACATCATTGCCACATTGTGGGCATTCGACTTGAGTTCATCCTATTCCTGGCTAGTGTATGTTGAGAGCGACGACATCGTTCCATATGGTCGCGAGCCACGAAGTAGATCTCTGACCACTCCCAGGGGCACCATTATCATGCTGTTCGTGCCGAAGAGGCCTCTCTGACGAGGTCGCTGTTCACGAGGCAGTGGTAGAGACAGGGAGCGTCCCGCCGAAGAGGCCTCTCTGACGGAAGCCCTGACCATGAATGCCTCGGCTGATGAGGCATCTGTGACGGCTGATCTGACAATGACTGTGTTGATGATGAGGATGACAAAGGGGAGGCAGCCTAGGGCAAGGAGGAGGAGGAGGAGGTGGACGAGGAAGAAGAGGATGAGGAGAACGAGGACGAGGCAGTTAGAGGGGATGATAGTAGAAGATGTAGGTGGGGGAGTTGGTGGTGATGGTGGTGGTGGTGGGGTGGTGGTGGAGGAGGAGGAGGAGGAGGCACACTCTCAGCGGAAGCCACATTGGTAGGATGCAGGCCATCCTCTGCTGCAGTCACTTCAACAACGTTTCCGTTGTCTGTTGCGGCTGGCCCGGTTTCCAGCTGAGTTGAAATATCCATATACGCATCCGTCATTCTGGTAGAAATGGCATAAGAGGGCGGCATGCTGCATTTGCTGTGGGGAGGGCTGATGCTGCCTGTATTCAGAATTGGTGTTCAAGAGAGAGTGGGTTCCCACTGCATGTGGCTGTGTGGAGGGCTGATACTGCCTGTGTGCAGTATGAGCATTCAGCAGAGGGTGAGCAATTGCCCAGTGCACCATGCAGCGAACCCAATTCGACAGTCAGGTGACATAGTGGGTAGCTGACGCTGCGAGCCATACACATATGCAGTCCTACCTCTAGCCAGCACACTTGGGAGGATGGCCCGTAACAAGCATCTGTCGTGTCAGGGAGGTGGCTGCAGCTTTGAAGTCAGTAGTGATATTGATACAGCTTTGAGGCCTGCGAGCACACCAGTGGGCTGATGAGCTGGGGCATTGGAGGAAGCACTGGGATAACGTGTGACAGGGAATGTCAAAGCCACAGCCTTATCAAGCACACCAATGCGAAGTGACCCGTCTGGCTGAGCCGATGCTGTTCCCCCGACAAAGAGACAACCCATCTTCCTCAGCAGTGTTTTTCCCCTCAGGACTATATCTAGTAGGAGGGGGTGGAGATGTATTCCACGATAAGATGTCATCAATGAACCAATATGTGAATGCATATGCTTGCCATGCACTATATAGAGCAGGACGGGGCGAAGATGTCATCAATGAACCAACATGTGAATGCATATGCTTGCCATGCAGGCAGATCTCGCTGACGTCAGTGCCCATCCCAATAGAGCATGAGATTGGCTATGTCTGGTCCGGCGTCAGTGCCCATAGGGATACTGACCATCTGATGGGGCAGAGTATACAAATGTTAGAGACCACAAATTGCAGATGCTGTTCTATTTGTGACACTGAAAGGGTGTCCGAGCCGTGTGAATTAACCCACTCCCCACAATGAGGACCTCCACTCATGTACATTTGTGCTGACCTTCTGCCCTGTGGAATCGGCGCCAAAGCATGAATACAGCATTGTGCCTTCTGCTTGAGAAAATGACCTCCTCAGCACTTTGCATGATCCAGCAACGCCGCACACCACTTTCGTGATAAACCTCGTTGTCCTTACTACAGGGATACCTAATCACGCCTTGGAGAGCATAGCTAAGTGACCGAGAGGCCATTGCTGCACTAGCAAGAAGCTTGTGAGGCGGCCTGTTATGGAGATCCGAGACTGAAGGTCGGCAGGTCGGTGGGCGAGGTACAGATTGGGAAAGGTTGTTCCGCTGAGTGACTCCAAGGATTGGATGAAGAGCGGGTGGTCAATTGTGCACTTTAAGCACGAAGTAAAGATAAGGCACGGTGTCAGTATGCCGATAGCCCCAGCATTGGAAAGTGCATCGCCTTCGACAATGCTGGCCGCAGACTCTGATGCATGACTGTATGTAAGACTATCAACATGTTGCAATAACTTGTATGCGTACCAGTGTTTGCAGCAGGTTGTCAAGTTTTGCGACGTTCTTTTTTGTTTATTATTCGGCCCCTGATCAAACAGCAGTCCGTTGTCCACCCTCCTATCCATTCTCAGATATTTCTAAGAACCGGCCCATTACCATACTAGGTTTTATCGACTGGTATTACGGCGAATTGCTGTTGTTGCTGCTGACGAGATGTGTTCGCAGCTCGCGAAGCAGCCTGAGTAAGTGCCTGGTACGCTGAAGGAGAGAAATCCCGTTCGCATCTTGAAAGAATTGCTGTACACCATCTGTGAAACTGAGAGAGACTGTCAGCAGTTATAGACTCGTTGTTGCATGCTGATGCAACGACTTGCTGGTTTCTGGTCGTCTGTAGCCTCTCTCTTGTCAAGGCTGTACTATCTGTAGGATAGATTCGTTACTTTGTTTGGCTGAGGGCTAACCGAGAAACCTGCCTGTAAGGAAAATTCGCGAGGGACATATCTGTAAATTCGGGAAAATACGGCCCGTACTAACTGAGTTTCCTACAGCTACCCTAACTGCGAACAGCAGACCCAGGCTACCCCTAAGACAGACAGGCCCTAAGGGCCTAAGCTGATAGACGGTCGTATAGCCTATAGCCGGGGTTGGGAGAGGCCCTAGAGGCCGAAACAGTACCGGTCGGTCAATCAGTCCGGTCTAGGTCGAGTCTAGGCTAGAGTAGACTATAGATAGGTTAGGCACATCGGTTCAGGGCTTGCACCGCGTACATCGCTGCTGTGCAACACGTGAACTGGAAGTGATGAGGGCTCAGCGTTGGGGGAGACAGACATAGCCAGACCTTCGGAGCGCCGGCCATAGCTGGGACCTGCGCTGTGCTCTGTCAGCAAACGGGGCTGTACAGAGGTCTGGGCTATTTTAGGTCTGCTGGAGGCGAGAGAAGTTGGTGCCCTGCTGGACCCTCCTCCAGGGTTGTGGCGCTGCAGCCATAGCTGCAGCTTCTTCCTCAGAGGTCATCTTGTCAGGATTGGTGGCGCTGCTGCAGACTTCCACACGGGAAGTCTTCCGACACTTCGTCATCATCAGATACTGTGGCACTGGTCTTCTTCTTCAGGGGGGGTACGAGTGGTTTCTCAGGGTTGGGGAGTGAGGCGCTGCTCATTTCTGAGCAGCGCACTGTAGTTCTGAAGTTATTCTGAAGATTCGAGACTCTCGAGTGTAATAAACAGTGTTGATACTGGGTTCAGACTATCTTCGTTTCATTGTTTCTTGGATGTGATCTACTCGGCTTTCCTTTATGGCCGGTTGTGAGGATTGCATGGAGTGAATTGCACTTTCAGTGTACCCTGTCACATCGCATGGTCAAGTCTTCCGCGGTGTTTCTCTCTCCCTGTGCGGTGTGATACTCCTATCCTCTCCCCTTCCTTCTGTGTATGTATGGGCATACCTGGGAGTCTATGTGAGTGAGCGTTGGTCTTCAGACAACAGACAACCAGAATCATAACACTGATCTCATGGTTGCTATAAACTTGGCAATGTACATGTCCAGACCGAGTTTCAGTGCTTTCATCACATCCGTGATGCTGGCATTGAGGCAGTACTGGAGCCTTCATAGCAGAGCCTGCAAATGTGTCTTGTACAATAGTGTAGCCTACTGTGGCCACATGACTATCAACAATGTCAGTACATCATGGAAACGATTGTCGGAAAGGACAATTGCTAGGGTCTAGAGGAGGCATATTGCTTGTTATGTTAAGTGTCACTTCTATGAAATTACAGAATTAGACACAAATGGGTTGCACCATCTTGTCGCAGGTACGTACTCTGTTGGCAAGTGCAGGCCATGGATGTAATTCAACAACCTCTGGTAGCCGGAAGACGCCCCGTAATCGTGTGGTGCAAGCAACATGATGCATGTGCACGACCTTCATAAAATTTAAGAACAGAGCCCTATCATGTGCAGGGCTGGAATACGGCTGGCATCAGCATTACAGACCACGGATCATGCACTCTAGTTGACGAATGTTTGCTGTGTGTTTGCAGCCATTGCAGCAAACGAGAGCGCCAGGCGGTCGTGCTTGGG